TCGTGCGCCTCATCGACGGGCTGGTCAATGCCTGCATCCGCTTCGTCTACTTCTCTTTGGAGGATGAGCTCAAAAGCAAGGTGGGGAGAGCCACCCCTCTCTGCTGCCCCTGATCCTTTCTCCCATGGGCTTGTGGGCCCATCTGTTCATGGCCATCTGCCTTTTGCAGGTGTTTGCAGAAAAGATGGGCCTGGAGACAGGTTGGAACTGCCACATCTCTCTCACGCCCAATGGGGACATGCCTGGCTCTGAGATCCCCCCCTCCAGCCCTAGCCATGCTGGCTCCCTGCATGATGACCTGAATCAGGGTAAGGGCGAAGTTTTGTGGTGGGGACGAGGTGGGTGTGGGCACTTCTCTCCTGGGAGCTACAGCTAGAAAGAGCCTCCGCAGATCCTTCCTGATAAGTACATTCCCTTGGAAAATGGCTCTCGTCTCCCCGCGGTAACAACAGTTGACAGCGAGGGAGAGGAGACCCAGATGCGGGAAGTTCTCTGCCATCTTCAGGGCAAGGAAAGGCCCCCAGAAAGGCTGATTCCAAGGTGAAGGACAGGCTTTCATCTCCACAGTGTCCCGAGACGATGCAGAAGGGCTCCTTCTGATGGAGGAGGAGGGTCACTCTGACCTCATTAGCTTCCAGCCGACAGACAGTGACCTCCCCAGCTTCCTGGAGGACTGCAACCGGGTATGACGGCAGGGTCTGTGCCCCTTCACCCCCAGAGGTAGCTGAATCGCTGGCCCCGAGAAGGGGGGCAGGGAGGGATGGACCCTTCTCCCCAGTCCTGAGGCTCCTGGCATCTCTGCTCTCTCCAGGCCAAGCTGCCCCGAGGCATCCACCAGGTGCGTCCCCACCTGCAGAACATTGACAACGTGCCCCTGCTAGTGCCCCTGTTCACCGACTGTACCCCCGAGAGTGAGTACCGTAAAGGAATCTGGGCTGGACGAGCTGGGGAATCCAGGGGGCTGGAGCTGCGGGTGTGCCCTTTCTAGGGAGTCAGAAGTGACAATCGTTCCATGATATTCATGCTCCTGGGGGTAGGATTGTCCCCAAGAGGGGCCTGCTTCCCCTGTCTCCTGCTCTCCTGCCCCGTGGGTCTCTTCCCAGAGCCTCACACAGGGCTCTGCCTACCTGACTCTTGTGCCCCCCCGACTGCATCCCACCCCAGCCATGTGTGAGATGATCAAGATCATGCAGGAATATGGGGAGGTGACCTGCTGCCTGGGCAGCTCTGCCAACCTCAGGAACAGTTGCCTTTTCCTCCAGAGCGACATCAGGTCAGGATGACATCCTAGAGCGGGGGCTTACACGGGCTGGGGCATGTTCCACGGCTGATCTTGCCCTAATTGGGACCGAGGGACCTGGACATGGTGGAAAGAGAGGGAGCAGGTGCTTGCCTAGTCCTATGGGAGATGGGATGGGGTCTTTGCGGAGTGTCGCTGAGGGGTATGCTTTCCCCCTGCGCCGAGCAGCATCGCCCTGGATCCCCTGTACCCATCCCGCTGCTCCTGGGAGACCTTTGGCTACGCCACCAGCACCAGCATGGCCCAGGCCTCGGATGGCCTTTCTCCCCTGCAGCTCTCGGGGCAGCTCAACAGCCTGCCCTGCTCCCTGACATTTCGCCAAGAAGAGACCATCAGCATCATCCGGCTCATTGAGCAGGTGGGGGCTCGGGAAGGCGGTGGGACGTGGGGCCTGCATGGGGTGGGGAATAGTGACACAGGCTCCACCTGGGCTCCCTGGGGCAGATGTACCTGCAAGAGAGCCTTTCCCGGGCACTGTTATTTGCCTCCACCCTTTCCTAGCAGGAGCATCTGGGGCATCTGGCTCTTGGCTGAGATCTGTCAGCTGTAGGCCTGGCCACAATCTGTCCCTCCCGGTCCCTAGGCTCGGCACGCCACTTACGGCATTCGCAAGTGCTTCCTCTTCCTGCTGCAATGCCAGTTGACTCTGGTGGTCATCCAGGTGAGGTGGGGCCGGCACAGGCATTGCCCCTCCCCCGCCCGCTTCCCCCGCCTGGGGCCAGTTGAGTCTGAGGTGGCAGTTCTGGGGGATGCGGCACAGCCTAGGGGCCCTCTAGCCTCTGTGAAACCCCTGGGCTTTCGGTAATGACCCCATCAGCAGAATAGTGGCCCCTGTGGCCCCAGCTCCTCTGGGCACCTCTCTGGGCACAGGGCCAGGCGGTCCTGGGGCTCCAGGCATCCCACTGTTTGCTAGAACCTAATCATGCTTCCTGGGCTCTCCTGGTCCAGTTCCTGTCTTGTCTGGTTCAGCTGCCACCGCTGCTGAGTACCACTGACATCCTGTGGCTGTCCTGCTTTTGCTACCCTCTGCTCAGGTGAGAGTCATTCTGCCCCTCCGTGCCCAGGCAGGCAGGGTTGGGATGTCACCGAGCAGCCCCAGGAGCCCAGGTTCTGTGAGACCCGCTTAGTGCTCACGTCTCCTGGTGCAGAGGGCACTGGGGGGCTCTCTCTCCTTCGTCTTATCCCATCTCCTCAGACCTCCCCTCGCGTCCCAAAACTCCCGAAAGGCTACCCATGCGGGAATTGGGGGACAGAAGGCCACAGTCACCACGCTTCACCAAGTCCCTGCTTTTCAGCATCTCTCTGCTGGGAAAGCCCCCTCATAGCTCCATCATGTCTATGGCCACGGGGAAGAACCTTCAGTCCATTCCTAAGAAGGTAAGCAACGTGGAGCCCTGTGAGCCTGGGCCTTTCCTGAGGGACGGGTGCGTGGAGGGGACGGAGCCTTGGGGGAGAGGTAGGGGCCTCCATCAGGACTTCCGCCAACCGCAGGGGAGGTGGTGGTGTGGAGCCGGGAAGCGTCCTCCACCCCTGGGCCTGCCCGCGTCCTGGAGAGCCCGCCGCTCCTGGTGCCGGAGGGGCCGCTGCCGTGGGAGTGACAGGCCTCCCTCTTCTCTGCAGACCCAGCACTACTTCCTGCTCTGCTTCTTGCTCAAATTCAGCCTCACCGTCAGCTCGTGCCTCATCTGCTTTGGCTTCACGCTGCAGAGCTTCTGTGACAGCTCCCGGGCCCGCAACCTCACCAACTGCTCCTCCATCATGCTGAGCAGGTGGGTCCTGATCCCACCCCCCCTCGCCCGCCCCCTGCCCACTTTCCCGGGGCCCAGAGGGGGCTGAGTCCACCCCTTGCTTTGGCAGTCATGCCGACACAGCTCCAGCCTGGTTTGACGACTTTGCCAACGGACTGCTGACCGCCCAGAAGCTCACGGCGGCCCTGACCGTCCTGCACACGGGTGAGAGGCTCCCGGGGAGGGGGCCGGTGGCGGCCGGTGGGGCACCCCGGGGGTAAGGCCTCGGCCGGTGGGAAGTCTAACACCGCCCACTGGCCGTTTTCTCCAGTCTTCATTTCTATCACCCACGTGCATCGCACCAAGCCCCTGTGGAGAAAGAGCCCCTTGACAAACCTCTGGTGGGCCGTGACGGTGCCCGTGGTGTGAGTATCTCCGGGTGGAGGTGGGGGAGGGGCAGGGGACTTGGGCAGAGACTAGGGGGCTCGAAGGCAGGAGTTGAGCCAGAGGTTGAGTGCTGTCCCCCTTGAGCTACTTGTACTGGGAAAAGCAGGGCAGGAGGCAAGAAGAGGCAGGTTCACGCAGGGCTGTCACTTCCCCCCTGCAGCCTGCTGGGGCAGGTGGGCCAGACGGCAGTGGACCTACAGCTGTGGACACACAGGGACAGCCGGGTCCACTTTGGCCTGGAGGACGTGCCTCTGCTGACATGGCTCCTGGGCTGCCTCTCCCTGGTCCTTGTGGTGGTCACCAACGAGATCGTGAAGCTGCATGAGATTCGGTGAGCTGCCAACTGGGCACTCCCTCCAGGGTCAGGCGCGTTCCCCAAGCCTGTCACCTCCTGGGCACTTGCCCACTGCCTGGACTTCCATCCTTCTCTGGGGTCCTACCCTGTTCCCGGTCTGGGGTTCTGCTCTAACCTGTGCTTTAATCTCCTGCCCCACCAGGGTCCGGGTTCGCTACCAGAAGCGACAGAAACTGCAGTTTGAAACGAAGCTGGGCATGAACTCCCCCTTCTGAGCCATTGGCCACAGTGCCCATAGTTGCCCTGGTCCTGGGGCTAAAGCCAGACCAGTTTCTGAGTCTGGGGAGTTGGTATCGCGAAGGTTTCAGGGTTTCCTCTTGTGCCTCATGGCACTGGAGGCCCAGCTCTGTGTCAGACCCAGCTGTCATCCTGCCCCCTCCCCGGGGCTTAACCGTGGAGGAGCTGGTGAGCCATGGCCTCGGCATCAGGCCAGTCTGGTCTTGAATGTATGACCTAGTGCACTTAGTAGAGGGGCCCTTAGCCCCCTCCACCTGTGGGCTGCCCCCCTCTTTAGGGGCTCTTAACCCAGGGCCCTCTGCTCTGGGGTCTCCGGGCAGAGCCGTGAACTATGGGGCCAGGACCTCAGGGGTAGCAGCCGTGGGAGGTCCAGACAGGCCACTGTCGAAGGCAGCAGTGGTGGTGTATCCTCCCTGCACCCCAGCCTGTCTTCCTGGGGCAGGAGCCTGGATGTGGTTGAGTGTTTCCCCTCCCTCCTTCTACGGGGGAGCCTCACGCTCAGACCTGAAGATGAAGAGCCCGCCCTCCCACCCCCGACCCCGCCTGGCCCTGGCCCCTCTTCCTGTGCTGCCTTCAAGCTGGCCTCGAGCGTCAGTCTTGGGGATGTGGCCCAGGGCTCCTTTTAGCCCCCTGCCGTAGTTCTCGTGTGAGAATGTTTTTACTGGTGTATATTTTTTACTGGAAATGAGCCTTTTAGGAATGAATGTAGACTGGTTTGTATTAAAACTTGTAAATTGCCTAAGAAAAATCTGTGGCTGGTCCATGAGGCAGCCACTAAGGGGCCCACCCAAGACTTTGGCTGGTGAGGGAGCCCCGAAAGCGAGGGGAGGGCCCGAGCCTTCCTCCTTCCACACTGGCAAGAGCCCTCAGGTCTGGCTCAGGTGAGAACCCTGGGCTCGGAGGTCCACGGCACAGATCCAAACACACAGCCCGATCACGTGGAATGACACTTTCATTGGTGTTAGTTGGGAGAAGAGGTTAATGGTTACAGAGCCGGGGCCTGGGCCAACCAGATCAGGCTTCCGGCCCCGAGGTGGGCAGTGGGCACTCTTGCTGTGGTTCGAAGCCCCTTCCCTTGTGTCCTCTCAGGTGGTTATAGATAGAATAAATTCCATTTAAAATATATGCATTTCTCTCTGCTTAAAAAATAACATTTACAGTTGAAAAAGTTTGGACTTTGGGCATCTGTTAATCCCACTGCCCCCGTGCCCGCCAGCTTTGTCTCACTGAGGGCAGGCAGCAGCGGGAGCAGGGGCTGGTCTGGGCACCGCCACCGCCGCTGACAGCAAGCCCCTGGCTGCCTATTTCCATGTCCTGTGTATACCTGTGGGAACTGGGTCAGACACACAGCTTTCTCCAGCCTTTTAGAGTGCCAGGACAGCACGGCACAGTAGGCGTCAGTAGGTCCTCGGCACAGACACTTGAGACATTGGAGGTGGTAGGAGGGCAGAGGAAGCTCTTACCAGGGTCCCTGTCCACGGGGGCAGGGCTGTCTGGTCAGATTACACAGCGGGAGGGAGCCCTGCTGACATGTGAGGTTCTGACAGGTCCCCTCAGCCTGCCATGAAGACCGCCCCCTAGAGCTGCAGTGCTGACGGTCGCTGGCTTGGAGCAGCAGGGGGGACCCTCCTGGGGGCAAAGGCAACGGACGCTGCACTGCGCTGCACCGCTGACGGCTGCCAGAAAGTCTCAATCAAGCATGGCATCCAGCTGGTCAGCCAGGGCATCAAACATGGTGCTGATGTCATCCAGAATGTGCTTGGTGGAGGTGCCGGGAGGGCTGCAGCGGGGGAAGGACTTGGTCAGATCAGAATGCACCCTGCTGGCCCTGGGCGGGCAAGGGGCTGTTCCTGAACACCTGGCTGGTGCCAAGCACTTTGTGTGCCCCTTGCTTCTCCCAGCCTGCTGAGGCAGCAGGCGCTAGTGTCCATTTAGTGAGAGCTCTGGGGCCCAGGAGGAAGTGCTGTGCTCGAGCTCACGTGCCTCTAAGCGAGGCCCCCAGGATTCCCCCCAGGTCACATCTGGGGAACTTAAGAACCAGGGCTCCTCCTGTTTTAATAGGGGTCGCCCGGGCCTAAGGATCTGTCTGGGACCACCCCCCCTTCCCACATTCCCAGGACCCCGGGGAAGAGGATTCAGGGGGAGCTGTTCCTTCCCTGCAGCCTTCTCTCCCTCCCTGCCCACCGGGCACCCAGCGCCCCTCACCCTTCTCGTTCCTCTGTGCCAATGCTCTTCTCTGCGGCCCTTAATGCAGCTGCCAGGGATGAGCTGGTCTGTTCCAGTCTCTGCTGGGCCCGGCCAGAGCCCACAGCTCCAGTGCTCTCTGGCCTTGGAGGGGGCACGGGGCGGGGGCCGAGCCGAGGAGCCAGCTTAGGACCAGAAAATGCCAGCTGGGTGCAGGCCACAGACACAGGCTTGGGGGCTGTTCCTGCAGAGACAAAAAGGTTGGTCGTGACTTGGCTGGGCTTGACACAACCCTTGCAAACACTGCCCCCTCCCGCAGACCCTGCCTCGTACCTGCACCTGGCACCTTGATGAGGGCAGCGGGGGTTGATGAAGCTGGGGGCTCAGTCTCCCCATGCCGCCAACTGCCCGCCGAGTTCTCCAGAGCAGGCCCAGAGCAGAGGGGAGCAGGGGGCTGGGCTGGGGAGCCGGAAGAAAGAGGGGCTGGAGCTCCCTGAGTTGGAAGGCTGCTAGGGTCAGGCCGGGGAGGGCTGGGAGAAGCTGAGGAGGGGGCCTCGCCGGGGGTCTGGGAGGGAAGGAGGACAGCGGGGCTGGGCGTGGCACTGGCCACTCCAAAGGCCAGAAGTGCCGTCTGCAGCGGCTCTCTCTCCCGGCATTTGGGCCTCCGCTTAACAGTGTCTGATTCTGTGAGGTTGAAATCGAGGCCAGCGGGCACAGGCGTCTCCCGGGGTGGGGGGCCAGCTGGCTTCGGCCGCTGTTTGATAGTCAGGTTCCCCTCCTCGGCAAACGGGAGCCCTTCTCCTGAGCTGCCCCGAGATGGGGGCGTCCCCTCAGGTCCTGGCTCCTCCTCCTCTGTGTCCGACACGGGGCCAGCTGGGGCAAGTGGGCCGGGGGGCTCTGATGGGCCAGTTGGTTCACTTAGTGTTCGCCTTCGGGGCACAGAGGCCCCCTCCTTGGGCCCCGGGCTTCCGTCTAGTGGAGGCGGCTCCGTGGTGGGGCCAGAGACAGAGCTGAGGCGTTTAGGGGGTGGGGGCGGAGGGCCTTTGCGTCGGGCACGAAGGGCAAAGGACTGGCTGCGGGGGGCCCCTCGAGCTGGAGTCGGGCTAGGGCTGGTCCGAGCTAGGGCACTGCGTCCCGGTCGCCGAGTGAGGGTGGCGTAGCTCCCCAAGGCACTGCCCACTGGCCCTTCAGCCTCTCCCTCTGCTTCCCCCTCGGTGGGGCCGGGGCGGCTTAGGCTATGGGACCGGCGCTTGGGCCGAGGTGGGTCTGGAGGAGTGGCGGGGGGACCAGCCAAGTAGGAGAAGGCACGAGGTGCACCAGGAGGTGGCCCCGGGGCTGGGCTGGAGGGTGAGCCCTGGGGATACATAAAAACATAAGGCGGGGGGCCTTGACCAGGAAGTGGGGAACAAAGCTTAGGGGGCCGCTCTGTGCCCTCTGGAAGGTTCCTCTCCTGTGGGGTGCTCGGGTCTCCACCACTGGGCTGGGGGGCCGGCTGTTCCTGGGAGTGACCGGACCCTCGTGAGCGTGCTCCAATGCTCTCCTGGCTGGGAGAGCGGGCAGGGGGCAGGGGGAGGGGCTCGGGGCCACCCCCAGCCATGGCTGCCTGTAGCTCTGGGCTCAGCTCACTGCCCTGAAAGGTGAGGAGGCGTGGGCCAGCTGCAGCCGGACCGTCCCCATTCTCCAGCCCCTCAATGGCCATCAGCTCCGGGCCTCGGGCTAGACGGCGGCCACCTTCAGCTGGGGCCTCCCCCTGCAGTAGGCCCCGCCGAAGCTCGGCCAGCCGTTTCACTCCCAGCATAAGCTTCTTCTGATGACCTGAGAGGGGACGGGTAGAGGCAACAGGGTTAGTGGGGGCTACAAAGGGTCACCTTGGTCCCCCTGGGATCCCATTCTCCCTTCTGGGCCTGACCCCTGACATGTTTTAGACACCCTGGGAGTCACGTGGGGGCCCGGCCACAAGGCCCCAGGGCAGTCCTCACCGAGCTTGTTGACCCCGATCTCTTGCAGCTCCTCCCAGGTGAGGTCGGCCACCAGCCCCATGGAGTCGTAGCCACTGCTCACCAGCTGCTTGTGGTACTGCGGCAGCCCCAGCGCGCACAGCCACTCCAGCAGGTCCGCCTGGAAAAGGACCCCAGTGGAGCCGGGTCCCCAGCCAGCCTCAGCCCCCAAGCCAGGAAGGGCCCACACAGCCATGGCTGAAGGTGGGTGCTGGCACCAGCCACCTGCTTACCGGGATGTAGTTGGGCAGCCACTCGGCGATGCTGAGCTGAGCAATCTCCGAGGCGATCTTCTTCCTGTGCCCAGGCTTGGTGACCCCGATGGCCGTCAGGTCCTGCCACACAGACTCGTGCCGTTAGGCCCCCTCCGGTACCCACTGGGCCCTCTGCTGCCTTCCTGCTGTGGCACCTACCTCAGGCGTCATACGGCTGATGGTTGGCACGTCGTAGCCAGCCTGCAGGAAGTGGGCGGTGTAGCCTTCCAGCTGGAACTCACTCAGCCAGTTATGAATGGCCTGCGCATCCTGTGGCGTGCGGGCAGAGAGTGAAGTTAACAGAGCGGGGTCTATGGAGGAAGAGCCGAGGCTGGGGCCCAGCCATCAACCCCAGCCTCCCCCCGGGGCCCGGCCAGAGCAGGGGCTTGAGTCCATACTGAGGCCCATCCCACGCCGGGCCCACAGCCCACTTCTCAGTGCGGGGGGGTGGTGGTGGGGGGGGGGGGTGTCACACCTTCCCCTCCAGCAGCTGCTCCGGCCTCACGTCCTGGGTGAAAAGCTGTTCCCCAGAGTGGTAGTTGACCAGAGGGCGGTGGCTCAGGTTGTCTTCAAGAGGGAAAGAAATGGAATCAGGGGTGGCAGGATGGAGGAGTGCCCGCCCGGGTACCATTTCCCCTTCCTACCTGCCAGGGATGGGGGGTGCAGTCCTGGCAACACCTGGTCCTCTCCGGGGGAAGGCAGTGGCTAGAGACAGGACAGGAGCTACTCAGCACGTCGGGGAGCTGACAGCAGGGCGGAGGGCTCTGTCCCAGCCCCAATGCCCCCTCCCTCCTACCTGAGCATTCTCAATAAGAAGGCCGGTGCCATGGCCGTTGGTTCCCTCGGAACTCTGCCCGCTGCCGGCACTGCGGATGCTGCCCACGCTGCCCTCGCTGCCCACGCTATTCCTGTCACCTGCTGCAGGGGCACAGGCAAAGGGGTTAGAGCCCCATTTGGCCTCACCAACAGCTGACTGGCAGCTTGCCAAGACCAGACACCCACCCCAGTGCCCAGCATTGCCCTCTGGGAGGATGTACCTGGGCTATCTGGGCTGAGGCCCACCCGAGGGAGCTGGCCATAGGTCAGAGAGTGCAGGGGCTCATCGGCAGGGGGCTGCTGTGTCCGAGAGAAGCCTGGGCGGAGGGGGGTGGGCACCGATGGGAGGCGGGGCGCGAGGATGCCCACTCGCTTGCTGACCACCTCCACGATGCCTGGGGGGAAGTAGCCCACACGGTCCGTGCCCCTCTGGCTCTCATGGATGTGGCCCTTCCAGCGGCCGTCGGGATGTTGCTCAAGCACCTGAGGCAGATGGGGCATGGGGGGGGTGATGGCATCGATCACTTCCTGCACCAAGCAAAGGCAGGCAGCCAGCCCTATAGCCATGGTCCAGCTTTTCCTTTCCCCGCAAGGAGCTGATGCCCAAGTGCACCCACAGTTCTGCCCTTCCTGCCGGCATCCGGCCCAATCCACCTGTACCGGGGCCTCACCGTGATGACATCCCCTGCCCGGACATTGAGAGCAGTGGGATCGTGGAGGTTCCAGAAGTCCTTGAGTGCTCGGACCTTCAGGATCCCCGAGGCCTCTGAGAGAAGATACAGGGCTGGCATCATCTGAGGGTCCTTAGGGTGTCTTCCCACCCCTCCTGTCCCTTTCACGACCCTCCCCCAGGTTCCCGTTACAGCAGTCCCCTGACCAGCCCTAGGTTTGGGGGTGTGGCATCTTGCTCCTGGGACATTGCTCCTGCTCCACTTCCTCGTACCCACTGGAGTGGCTCTGGCCACCCCCTCCCCCAACCCTGGGCTGGGTCTCCCCTCACACACACTCACCACGCAGCAGCTGCTTGATTTCTCGGCTGGCCTGGGAGGTGGTGAACTGATTCACAATGTCCAGTGCCGTCTGGTTATACGTGTTCCGAATGTTCACATCCACCCCGCCCTGGGTGCACAGTGTGAGCACACACTAAGAGCTTCACTTACCACTTCCCCCAGTCCTCGTGACTACCCAGGAGGTGAACGGTACCCACTACTTTCGAATTTTACAGACGAAGAAATGGAAGCTCAGAGATAGGATCAAGGACGAACTCAAGGTCATTCAGCTAGTGACAGGCAGAAGTGGGGCTTGAACCAGGTCTGTCTGCTTTCCAGTCACAAGGCCACTGCTTACCCAAACACCACCTTGTGGGTGGAGACCCCCTCCCGCGTGCGGGCTGCCTGGGTGCCCACACTTACCTCCAGGAGCAGCCGGACTACCTCGGTCTTGCCATACAGCGCAGCCTCGTGGAGTGCGGTGCCTGTCTTGGTCTGGCGGTTGATCTCGATCCCAGCTCTCAGGAGCTGCCTGTGGCGTAGGGGCGGGGGTGAGTCACGGGGGTGGTGGGGGCAGGGGAGGAAGCAGACTGCCCCCGGCTGGGAGAGTGATCCAGAGCGAGAGTGAAGAGGGCGGCAGGGCACCGAGGGGACATCACCCATTCCACAGGAAAGGGATGAGGAAGTGGGGGTGGGGGGCGGTGGGTACCTGATGACCTCTCTGTGGCCGTTCTTGGCAGCCAAGTGCAGGGGCGTGGTGTAGTTGGGGTCACACGGGTCCTTGGCCTCACCCTCCAGCAGCGCCACACACAAGTGACTGTTCAGTAGTAGCTGGGCCACCTGCAGCAACCAGCACCCAGGTTGGGCTTCCTCCTGAGACCCCACAGATGCCCACGCCCTGGCACCCTAAGGGCTACAGGCCTCACCTTAAGTCGCCCAAACTCGCAAGCCAGATCCAGGGGCGTCTTCTTTGCCTTGTTGACCAGGCAAGGGTTGGACTGATGCTGGAGGAGCATTTCTGACTGGGGTGTAGGGAGCGGAGTGAGGCGTCTGGCCTGGCCAGCGCCCCCCACCCCCATGCCCCGGCCCCAGCGCCCCTGCAGGCAAACAGGCTCTCATACCACTTCATAGTGTCCGTACTGGGCAGCCAGATGCAGCGGGATCTGCCCATCCAGCGAGGCGGCGTTCACGGCCGCGGAGGCCCGCAGCAGCAGCCTCACGGGCTCCAGCCGGCCTTGCCAGGCTGCGTAGTGCAGTGGGCGCATGCCTGCAAGGAGGGAAGGCGGATCGGAGGAGGTCCTGGGATGTGGTGGGGTCAGGGGAGGGAACTGAGCAGACGGTAGAGCCACCCTAGCTGCAGGGGGAGACGGACCCAAGGGCGGGGATGCTGGCTGGTCAGGGAAATGTCTGGTCGCCTGGGGCTGAAGTCAGAATCCCACCTTGCCCACCATGGGTGATTCCTCATGACAGGAAGGTAACCTCAGCCTCCTCATCTGGAGAATGGGGTGTTAGTACCACCCACTACCCCAGAAGGCTGTGAAGATTAAAGAGGTAAAGCATCTGCAGGCCAGAGAAGCTGTGCCAACACGTATTAGCATTGCTAGAGTGTAGCAGGAGCAAACTCTGAGCACAGGGTCTGGCTAGGGGACACACCGGGGTCTCACCATTGCTGTCTTTGATGTCAACGGTGGCCTGAGCCTCCAGTAGCAAGGCTATGAGCTCCAGGCTGCCCCCCAAGGCGGCATGATGGAGGGCAGAGAATCTGGTGTGGTGGGTGGGACACAGGGCAGGGGTGTTAGCGAGCGGTGCCCCACCCCCCAAATCCTGGTCTTCCACACCAGACTCATCCTGGAGGCTGGCAGGGATGAGTTACTTGCCCACTGTGCCCCCGCTCCCCCACCCTGCCAGCCCTGCCGTGGGAGCGCAGAGCAGCGGGCTACAGCATGAAAGGGCTCAGTGTCTGGGCTGAGAGGCCTGTTTGTCTGGCCTCCCCCCCCAGCCAGCCCAGGGGAGGGGGCCGTGGGAGCAGGAGCCCGAGGGCTCCTACCCTCTGGGGAGAAAAAGGGGGCCTAGCAGGAATCTGACCCAGGAGGCCCCTCAGAGAGGCACCAGGGCTCCCTCCCCTCACTCAAGGATAGCTCCACAGGCAGGAGGGTGGGCAGGAACCAAAGCTCTCAGCAAACACCATTCAAGGGCCAAGTTTGAGAGGGGAAGGGATTCTAGGGCCCAGGGCTTTCCCTTTACCCCTCCCCCACCCCCACAGCTCTCGAGGGGGACAGGGGCTCACACTCACCCATCAGCATCCTGGTAGTTGACGTTGAGTCTCTTCGTGGAGCCGAGGAGCTCTGGGGGATCAGAGCAGAAGGCATCAGGACACGTTAGAATGATCCGCCCTTACCTGCATCCTAACCAGCGCTCCCACCCCACCCTGCTCCCTAATCCAGCTGACCTCTTGGTGTGCAAGAAAGCACCTGCCCCATGGCCCTTCTGTGATCCTGTCCCTGTGGTTCCCCACCCGGCCGGCCAGCCCATCAGCTTGAGGGCACCCGGTGCAGGGAGCTGCTGCAGCAGTGGCCTGGCTTCCCTGGGCCCCCAGCCCAGCTTGTTTATAGAGCCAAAGGGGGCGGGAAAGGGGGGGACTGGCATGCCGTGCCCTCAATGGACAGGCCCACGAATGCATGGTTAGCATTCCTGCCTGAAAGGGCCAAGGAGTGTCTCATTGTCCCACTGGGCCGAGGGGGCTGCGAGAGAAAGGAGAGGGGCACTAGATGCTGGAGGGTTGCAGGGCAGATGCCAGGACTGGGCCCAAGCCCGGGGACATCCCTGAGTGGAACGTGGTGAAGAAGGTGGCATCAGACAGAACCTGCGCTGTGCCCAGCTCTGCCATGTACCGGCTGTGAGATCCTGAGCAAGTCACTTAACCTGCCGGGCTTAGTGTCCTCATCTGTAAAATGGGCCAATCACAGAACCGGCTCACCAGGGTTGTGAGGATAATGCCTGACCCTCGTCAGCACGCCAAAGATGGGAGCCGCGGCCCTTTAGGACTCCTTACACGTTAGCCATCAGGGCCCACATGCCGTCCTCTGGTACAGTCCCCCCACTGGCGCCTGTCAGGGAGATAACTGCTGATTCTGCACCCACAGGCTCCCCAGCAGAGATGTCCACGCCCCGGGCACAGGGCTCTCTACGGGGTGGTGGCCAGAGGAGCCAGGGGCACGGGCAGGCCGCTGGTTCATCCCTGTCAGGAATGGTGACAGGATTCAGGCAGGTGTGCTCCAGGCAGGGGCCAGGACACAGGAGGGGGCGGTCCTTGAGGGGGAAGGGGAATGTCTGTCACAGGCGGGCCCCTGCCTCCTGCTGGAACCCACCCTTGCTGGGAAGGAGGAGGCCTGGCTCAACCCAGGCTGGGCAGGGTGCCAAGCATGCTGGTCCAGGCCTGCCCTCCAGGCCCTGGTGGGCCCCTGAATACCCCAGCAAGACAGGGCTTCATTCCAACAGGGAGGGATCGACGCGATAGTGAGGAGCACGGGATGGGGAGAGAGGGGACTAGCTACGTTTAGGGCTGAGCCGAATTCAGCTATGTACTACGCAGAAAAGGTAAATACAGAGCTGGGCAGTGACAGAAGGGGAGAAGGGGTGGGGCTGCTGGAAAGAAACATAGGCCTCCCAGCCTTCCTCGAGGCCCCTTGGAAAGCCCTTGTCACACAGAACCATTCAGGGCAATGGAAAGGAAAGGGGCTTTAGAAGCAGGAAGTGTGTGGTCCAAAGTCTCCCCCTTACTGGCTGCACGACCTTGGCCAGCCAGGGTACCTCTCCGAGCTTTGGTGAAGACAACGAGGTCAGCGGGGAGGACACACAAAAAGTCCCTCCACCTGCTGCCAGCCTGGACAGTCCGGAATGGGGCAGCTCAGTGGTGAGATACAGCCCCTCCGGGGAGTGGCAGGACAATGTGACAGGAGGGACAGGAACAGGGGCAGGGGCAGGCTGGGTGGCTCTGTTCTTTCCAGAACAATGGCCGGAAAGGCGGTGGGGGAGAGGCTCAGAGTGACTGGGCTTGGGACCTTGGCTGGAGGGCGGAGGGTCCTGGTTCCTGGCAGTGGCTCCAGGCACTTCCCCTGCATCACAATCTTCTTCCCCGGCCTGGCTCTGGGGGTAGAAGGGTCACTCCTGATTTAGGCTCAGCCAGAGGATGTGAGCTCACTGGGCCACCCTCAGCCCACCCCATTTCCTCTGGCCAGAGAAGGAGACAGCTCAGAAAAGGGAGCAGGGGAGGGAGAGAGGGCAGGGTTGAGGCCAGGGCAGCTGCTCCTCTCTCCTCCCAGCCACCTGCTCCTTTAAGAGGACCTGGGAGGGCAGGGAATGCCAAACCACCAGTGACCAGATATCAAATGGAGGAGGCTGAGGGAGCACCTCTCTTTGGCCAGCCAGAAGGTTCTAGCCATCCACCAGAAGGATAAAGGGGAACCCTGGCACCTCCCTTTCCATCAGTTTCCTCTGCCTCACTGTAATATGGAGTAGGAGTTCCCAGCCTCCCTTCTGAGAACTGTTTTAGAGTCACCTGGAGACCGTTTTGATTTGCAGAGTCACAAGACCTCTAGGATGATTCTAACTCTGAGGAAGAACAGGGAGTTGGCACTTTCAGAAAAATCACTAGGTAATTCTGACGGGCAGCTGAGTGCAGGAGCGAGGAGGGAGGACAGGGACCCTGATCTGCCACACAATGTCTGTGTGACCTTGGGCAAATCACTGAACCTCTCTGAGTGTCAGTTTCCTTATCTGTAAGGTAGATGTAGAAATACCCATCTCACAGGGAATTGAGGGATTATAACATCTCGTAAACTGTGGGGTCTGCAAACATAACCTTGTGATCTCCTTTTTGCACCAGATTTCCTAGCTTCTCAGAGGACTGGGAGGGGAGGCTCAGTGCCAGGGCCTCACAAGGAGGCCCAGGACTCTGTCACTCTGTGGCCATGCCTACATTCTGTACAAGTCTCCTTGGGGGCTGAGAGAAGAGATCTCTTCCCCCATTGGCATTTTCCCTGGGGCGGGGCACCTTCCCAGGGCCTAGGAGTCTGGCTGTGAGGTTCCCGCCACCAGCCTCCAGACCCCACCCACTTGCCCTCCCGAGGGCCTCACTTTGAGGCCCCAGAGCCGTGAGGCCAGCAGCAGCTCAACCAAGGCCCTACTGGGCAGGTCGCCAAAAACAACACAGAGGTGAGGGGAGGAGGGGGAGTGGTTCCCACTCTTGGGCCTCCAGGGCCCTCCCAGGACCTCCTTAGCACCTTCCTTCCATCTGCTCAACCTGCATCTACTTCCCCAGGGCACAGAGACCACTCGCTGCCAGCGCCCCCCACCCCAGCCACTATTCCCATCTCCCCATACCTTGGGTCTCCTGCCCTAGTGTGCGAGTGGGTGCACATACACGTGTACAACTCCCAGGCCCTTCAAATCCATCCTTCTGGCACCCCAAACTCCCAGGTGTGGGTGAGGATAATTATATGTCTTCACATAGTCTGGGGGGCCCCTTCCTGTGCTTGGGGCTATAGCCCCAGCACTCTGAAGGAACCTTCCCACACCCAGCCCCAGTCTGGTGGCAGGGGCTACCTCCTGCCCCTGCTGGTCTGGGAACTCAGAACGAGTCCAGTGTCCTCCTGGGACTGCCCAGAGAGCTTGCCCTGAAGTCCAGAGGTCCACTCTCCTTGGAGGAGTGGGGTGGGGAGGGGTCTCACCACAGAGGTACCCAAGAGATGGGGCTCGGGTGTGGCCACCCATGCATAGAGCCCCTGTAACCCCGTCAAGACTAGAGACCCAGGCTTTGGAGAAACCTCTAGAGAGTTAGCTTTGGCCACACACACACCCCAGGGGATACAGACAGATATGTCCAGGGGAAAGGGGCTTTAGCAAGAGCTGAGATAGTGGTAAACTTTGTTTTAAAGCAGTAGAGATCTCTTTTTAAAAGCTATCTTACAGGCATCCCCACTACGCTGACATAAATGCAGAGATGCTGTTGCTGAATTGGGGGATGGGGCTGAAGCTCTAGCTATTCAGTCTTTCCCAACCCACTGCCAGAAATCTCGTGGCTCCTCTTCAGAAAAACCACCTGCTAAAGGCAACTCCATGAGGGCAGGAATTTTGGTCTGTTTCATACACTGCTGCGGCCCAGTGTGCCTAGAACAGAGCCTGGCACACTGTAGGCACTCAAAAAACCCTTGAATGAATGTATTTCAACCCTTTTACTTTACAGGTGAGAACACTGAGGCCCAGAGAAGTTAAGTGATTTGCCTAAGGTTACACAGCAAGGGGTGACTCAACTTCCTCTCTGGCTCTCTCACAGAGGCATTCCTTATACAGAATAAGACAGTCCTCCTACTCAAGTCCCCAGATCACAGTGATCCCCAAGCCTCTCTCTGTGGCCTGAGCACACAGGGGAGGGTCTCAGCTAGACAGTCACCCCCCCCCACCCCCCACCAAGCACTCACTTGTTTTTGCAGCCTTGACTTTAGCCACCAGTTTCTGCACACCAGTCACATCTCCATTCTTGACAGCGAGGATCAGGTCCTGTTCACGACCCATTCTGGTCCCTGGGCTGGGATCTGGGATCAGGAGTCCGGGGCAGAGGCAGGAAAACTTTAGGTCTAAGCCAAGGTCTCAGGGTACCATGCTTTGGCCCTTTGGAGGGCCAGGTGTCCTGGGGGAGTGTGTCTGGTGTCCCAGGCAGTGGGCTTCTTGTTAGGCACTGATGGGTACTCCCTCAAGGTGTTTCGTGAGCTGCCACCACAAGCAGGAAAACCGATCTCTGAGGGGGTGGAGGCTGCGTGGAAATCTGGACAGATATCTGCTTGCAGCGTCTGACGGCCCAGGGATGGGCTGGGGCTGGGCACGCCGATCTTCCCAGTGTGGCTCAGGAGCACCGGCGCCCACCCAGAGAGCAGCCAGCATTCCCTCGGGCCTCGGGCAGCAGCAGTGGACAAATCTCAAGGGTCTGGAAAAGGTGCAGTGCCTCTGCTGAAGGCGGGCCAGGCCTGCAACGGTCCCAGAAGTGGGGCTCAGAAGAGGAAGACAGGGCTTCCAGGGAGCCCCCAAGCCCCCCTAGCTGCCCTTTTGAGTCAAGGAAGGGCCAAGCCACTCAAAGCGGGGAGACAGCTGCCAGGCATGAGAGCAGTATTTGGGGGAAGGAGGTGACTTTCTGGGAGGGGGAGGCTGAGTCACTGAGGCCCCAGGGCACCTGGCAGCACCTCAACCTGGGGGCAGGAGGGGCCCTGGCAGCACGACACACTCGGGCAGGCTGGGCCAGCAGCCTGTTCTCCACAGCCTGGGGCTCTGACACCCACAGACAACTGGTGGGCCAGGAGGTGGAGCCTGGAAGGGTCAGGCACAGGCAGGCGTGCAGGGGTCACTCCCTGTGGAAGGTGCCTGCCCCCAGACTCCTCCCAACCGAAGCTTTACAATAATAGCTGGATGCCCTAGCCCCAGGCTCTTTATGAATTCAAAGGGTGGGGTGGAGAGCTTATAGCTCCCCATTTCTGGCCGGGGTCGGCCTGCTGGACAGGGAGGCTTTACAGCACCTGTTGCTGACCCATCCTCAACCCTCGCACGGGATGAGGAAGCAGCTGGGCAGAGAACAGACAAGAGCTGGGGTACTGTTTGCAAATGGGGCTGCCTGGCCCCCCAAGCCTGAACCTGAGGCCCGGAGCTCCGAATTCGCTGCAGAAAAGCTTACGTCAGTTTTCGGTGGCCAGGAATTTGTTGCCCAAGTCCTGTGGCATGAGACCCGCGCAGGCCTGGGGCCCTGGCTGGGGTCTTCTTACTCCCAGAACGTCCCAAGCCCAACCCAGATGGCACTCCTGCTCTTGCCCGCAGCCGACATGGGAGGAGGGCGCCCCTGGTAGAGCTTGGGGTCGGGCTGGCTCCCCCGCCCCCCGGAATGCCAATTCAGCGCCGCGCAACCCCCCAACCCAGCCCAAGCCAGGCCGACCCGGGGAACAAAGCGGCGGGAGCGACCGGGAGAGCCAAGCGCCGAAGGGATTGATGCATGAGGACGGAACACGGGCGCGAGGAGAACGGAAGGAGCAGAGAGACGAAGGCGCCCGCCGATCGCGAAAGAAAAGTTAGTTTGTGCCCGCCCTCAAAGGTGCTGACCACCAGCGCAGGCCCCGCAGTCTCACCTCTCCCAGCTGCCCCGCCGGGGGTCCGGCTGGCCTGGCTCAGTCCCTGGCACTCTGGACCGTGGCTCCCACTGCCCCCCTTAGCCCCTTTCTCCTCCTTCTCCTCCTTTTCCAAGGCCGGCTCGGCGCCTCCCGCAGGAAATCCCGCCCCTCCCCCCTCCCTCCCGCCGGATCGGGAGCAGAGGGACCGTCCCGGCCGCGCAGTCGGACTGTCAGTCAGAGCCTGCGGCCCCGCCCCCATCCGTGCCCCGCCCCGCCCCCAATAGCTTTCGTCCGCCCTGGGCACGCTGGCCCGGTCAGCGCATGCGCCCAGGTGAACGGGCCGGGGAGGGGTGAGAATGCGCGCCGCGGTGTCCCTGTTGCGGAGCCGCTGCCACCTGGGGCCCTAGAGTTCAGACCTAAGGGCGAGATGCCCTGCTTATGACTGGGTGGCAGAGAAGACGTTATGTGAAGGGGTCTAGAAACCGAGATGTGGGGACCCCACTTGGGAAGCCCCCTTCCTTTTCGCCCTTCGCCCCTACTGGGACTCCCACGGTGACCTCCGCCCACGGCCAGAGTCGCCGACTCAAAGTCGCTGGTTAGAGCAATGGTGCCACCTAGCGGACCATGTCGGAGAGGCCCACGGTGGCTGTTGCAGGGACCCCAGCCTCCAGGAGGTGCTAATGACGGACCGGAGTGGCGCTTCAGCACCATCGTGGGCCGGACAGCTCCTCCCGCCCCCGGCCCTGGAAGCCCGGCTTCTGAGCCCCTCGGAAGGGACCCAATGGTAGACCGAGAAGGAACTCCGAACCTACCCAGACCGCATCTGACAGCCCACGATGGCCAGTCTACGAGGCTGGAATGCGAGAACCCACAACTCTCCCTTCTCTAAATCCTCCTTTCTTCCCTCCTTGTCCAGCCTGAGTGGTGGAGACTAAGCGTCCCAGGGCTAAGGAGGGGAAGATCACTCATTTATCCATACTACACTCTCAGACGCCGGGTTCCTCAATTTTTACTACAGAGGAGCCCAGGGCAGGGCTGGGGAGGAGAGGAGCTCCTACAAATCCAGAAACCTGCAATCTCTCTGTCCCCGGAATCGAGGCACAAGTTTATTGGCAACGGTAAGTCAGGAAGGTGGGAACCCGGTTGGTTGAGCCCGCAGCGGAGGCAGGATCCGCGGGCGCTAGGGCCCTGCGGATATCAGGCGGTGGGCGGGCCGAGGGCGGTGCGCGCGCAGCCGCAGACCTCGGCCCGATGGAGCCCGAGCCCGCCGAGGTGGAGGTTCCCGCCGGGCGCGTGCTCAGGTGCGTTCTGGCTCGGGGAGGCGCGGGTCACGCGGAGAGGGCGTGGGGAAGGGGGACGGGAATCCGGGACGGGACCCGGCGGCCCTGACTGTGCGCCGCTGACCCCACGTCCCTTCCTTCCCCAGTGCCCGGGAGCTCCTCGCCGCCCGCTCGCGGTCCCAGAAGCTGCCTCCGCGCTCGCATGGGCCCAAGGACTTCCTCCCCGACGGCTCGGTGGCCCAGGCCGAGAGGCTGCGCCAGTGCCGCGAGGAACTGTGGCAGCTGCTGGCGGAGGAGCGCGTGGAGCGCCTGTAAGGGGGACGGGCCGGGGCGGGGCCGGGGCAGGCGGGGCGGCCGGACCGCGTAGACTTCGCGGGTGGACTGAGACCGACTCCTCCCTACTCTTCGCTAGGGGCAGTTTGGTGGCTGCCGAGTGGAGACCGGAAGCGGGCTTCGTGGAATTGAAGTCTCCAGCGGTGAGCTGCCGGGCTCAGGGAGAGAGACCTGCCTTCTCTGCCTTTCTGGCTCCTTTGTGACATTTGCTCTGGGTCCTACACAGGGTAAATTCTGGCAGACCATGGGCTTCTCAGAGCAGGGCCGGCAGCGGCTTCACCCCGAAGAGGCCTTATATCTGCTGGAGTGTGTGAGTGGGGCCCCTGGGGGGTGAGGGAGGGTTGGGACCAAGGAACCGAAAGGACATGTTTTTATTGGAGAAAAAGTGTAGATGCAGAGGAGTATTCGAGAAGCTTGTAACCTGAATTCCAGAGCCAGAGACAAGAATACCGTGTAGAGAGCAGGGATTCCCGTCCAAAGCAGTGGTGCTGCTCTCCTTTCCCGGTTGGCCATATTCTTGCTGTGTGATGCTGGGGGCGGGGAGGGGAGAGGGAGCCCATATATCCCAGCCTGGAAGTTGCCCCGCTGGGTGTGCCACCACAGCCACAAGGTGAGCTGTTGACCCCACTTCCAGGGCTCCATCCAGCTTTTCCACCAAGACCTGCCACTGTCTATTCAGGAGGCCTACCAGCTACTGCTGACTGAGGACACCATGACTTTCCTGCAATACCAGGTATCTGCCACCCTCTCCCAGGAGAGGAGTCACCCATCCACCAAGTCAGTGAGGATTTGTAAGTACCCATGAGGTTCTAGACAGGACAGGCGAGGGCTCTGCTCTCATGATGCTTGCTTGCATCCTAGTGGCAATGGGTAACAAGTGAGCAAATCAACTGAACGATTTGACTTCACAGAACCAAAGGCTAGGAAGAAGACAGAGCAGGGTAACAACCCAAGGCTAGAGACAAATGTGGACATCACGAGCACATGGATGGTGTTTAAAACCACAGGGCTGTATGGGAGTGTAGCCAGAGTAGAGAGCTGTCTGAGACCTGGAGCACTCTGGTGTGAGGAGATGGGGTGTGGGGGCGGGGAGAACCAGAAACAGGGACTGAGGAGTGTCTGACAGCCCAGGAGAAAAACCAGGAGGGGTGGTATCATAGAGGCCGAGAGAAGGACAAAGTGGGTGGCTGTGTTGAGGCTGCTGAGAGATCAAGCAGGATGGGGGCACTCCTGTATACATCTCTCTGATGCGGGCATTAGAACACAAGGATGGACATGGGGTTCTTTACCAAAAACCACTCCTACTGTACCCCTGTCTGTGGAGGTGTAGGGCTGAGTGGCAGCGGTGGGGGGTGGGCTGTTTACCACCTTTGCCACCTTCTTGTTCCCGTTGTAGTCAGGAGCTTCACTCTGGACAGCTCTGGTATCATAACGTTCTAGGGTGTGGTTCTTTTTCTGCTTCATCAGCTATTGTTTTTTGGGGATTCCACACTTAAATCAAGAAAGTGCTAAATGTTATTTGTGCCCAGAGTAAGGTAAGCAAGAGACAGGAATTCAGAGACTGAGACCTTTGTTTGGGGAGGGTGTGTATAATGGAGTATGGTCCAACCCATGCCAGGGTTTGGAATCGGGGTGTGCAGGAGGGGCCGGGGGGGGGGGTGGGGAATGGCTCCCGATTGGAGGAACCATTTGGTGTTTTCAAAAGTGGACGTCTGATCTTTACTTTTTCTCTTTGAGGTCTTCAGCCACCTGAAGAGACTGGGCTATGTGGTTCGACGATTCCAACCAAGGTAAATCCCGATCCCATCTTCCTCCCGTTTGTTCTAATCCTGGGACCTGGTAGACAAGCCCCAAAGTGGAAAATGGCCTCTCCTTGGCTGGAGACATGGGCTCTGTTGGAAATGCTGTATTGAGAGGCGCATTGGGACAAATCTGGGTCATTTCAGCTTATCCCGGGCTATCACATTGAGCCCCATCTTCAGCCTGTTCGCTCCACAGGTAACAAGTGAACGCTTGCAGCTCACGACAGGTCCCTGGCATGTAGCTGTAGCACTAGAGCCGTGCCTTAATCGGGGTGCGAGCACACTTGATGAGGGCGTGCCTGAATGAAGGACCAAGTGAGGAATTAACAGTTGAGTTGGGTCTCACATACCTTTTGCCAAGTTAGATGTTCTTTCTTTCTGGGGCCTCTAAAGATCATCACCTTAGTAGCCCAGCGTTACTAAGAGTCATAGAGATGATCAGCCTTAGAGTGGAAACTGGTACAGCCTTCACTGGTTCACAGTACGTCGCGAAAGCTCTGGGACAGCCATGTCCTTTCGTTCCTGAAAGTGGGATATATCCTAAGGAAATAGTCACAGATGTGTGCATAAGTTCACCTGTGAGAATGTTCAGTCATTTGACAATACTTGTTGATCGCTTGCTGGGTGCCAGGCCCCGGCTCATTGCTGAAGAAAAGCAAAATCACTGCCCCCACAGAATTTGCATTTAGCGGGGACGTTACGTGAAGCATCATCACTTTGCAAAATGGTAAACTTGGAAACATCCTGTGAGTTCGACGGGGAAGGCATGGTCACACAAATTATAGTTTATCCTTTAGAGCGGCACTGTCTGGTAGAACTTTCTACGGTGATAAAAACAGTCTATGTCTACGCCATCCAATATATGTGGCTTTGCAACTGTGGGACTGAATTTTTGTCTAATTTTCATGGATTTAAATTTAACCTTAATGGCTCCTTGTGCCTAGTGGTGGGTACCATTTGGACAGTGGAGTCTTAGCGCCACAAAAAATCATGGCAGGGAAGAATGCTATAGTGGTAAGGGGCCGTGTCTGTAATATATATTCTTAATATAAAAAAGACTAAATAGCAGTATGTTAGTACAATGTCATTTTTTGTAGAAAAAAACATATGGAGACAGTATGTGTGTTACAGGAGTATCTGTGGTTTTGTTCATTTTTATTTTTCTGTATTTTCCAAGTTTTCTAGTTCTCTTGATTTTTCTCACCAGTGATTAATCATTTATTGCTGGCTCTGCAGGAGCCCGGGTTCCAGTAAGTCTCTGTTCAGAGGTGCCATTGGTGAGACCCAGAGGCCTGGGCAAAGATGCATGGGCAGGCCCCTGTGATTGCCCCCATTCAGCTCGCTTGCAGGTCTGCCCAGGGCCTTTGCCTTGGCGTGTGGCTTTGACCCTGGCCCACCGACTTGTTCCTCTGGGCCAGTCCCTCACAGATTCCACTGGGAACTCCAAAGTGAGGAAGTCGATCTGTTGCCTACCCAATTCTCAACCCCACAGCTCCATCCTGTCCCCTTATGAGAGACAGCTGAACTTGGATGGCAGTGCCCTGTGCTTGGAGGATCGGAATGGCAAGAGGAAGAGGAGGAGCTCCAGCTCTCGGTAATGCTCCCCATGTGGCCACACACACCCCCAGGGAGTTCTGGGGAGCGGAGCTGTTGAGGGAATGCTCATTTTAGGAACCCTGGAGAATGCATTGTCTTAAGAGCTGGGTTTGGGCGGCTCCCTTGTAGGACCCTGGA